AGAGGATACTAATGACTGACCCAAGAAATAATTCCCCCCAAGTCTAGCTTGGTGAACTAATGAGTTTATTGAAATTATAAAAGCACAGGTGACAGGTTACTTACAGGACCATGTGTGACACAAAGGCAGCTGCATCACCACAAAGAACACCCAAGCATGGGTGATGAACCATAAACTGCATTCCCTGCAGCTCTTGCACAGCTTGCACGTGGCTCCCCCTAGAGCTGCCCCCGCCCTCCAGCTGTTGTTTACAGCTTTTATCATCCTAGGGAGATGCCTTGTGAATCTTGAAACTTTGTTTGATCCTTGAGTATTCTCTCCAGAAAGGAGAATTTCAATTCTGACTCTGTAACTCTGGTTTCAGGGGTTTTGATGCCTTTTCTGACCTTTGTGAGCACTGTATGCATGTGGTGCACATATGCACATGCAGGCAAAATACTAATACACACACACAAGTCTTAAAAGGGCAGGAGAGATGGCCCAGTGTTTAACAGCACTGGCTTCTCTTGCAGAAAACCCGGGTTCAATTCCCAGCACCCACATGGTGGCTAACAACTGCTCATAACTCCAGTTCCAGGGGACTCTAATGCCTTCTTCTGACCTCTGTGGGCACTGCAGGACAGAGGTACACTTACACACATGCAAGCAGTACACTTAAACACATAAAACAGAATAAAAAAATAAAAATCTTATAGAAACCTAAATAGACCATGTGATTCATCTAAGTTAATGTACAACAGAGGTATTTGCACATCCGTGATTATCATGACACTATTCACAACAGTCAAGTTATGGAATTGGCCTTGATATCCCTTAACAGATGAATGGATAAAGAAAATGTGATCATATATAATGGAGTTTTATTCATTTATAAAGACTAAAATCAACATCATTTACAGTAAATATGGAGGTCAATATCATCATGTTACAGGAGATAAGCCAGACTCAGAAAAACAAGTATTGCACATTTTTCTCTCACATGTAGAATCTAGAATAATAGTCATGAAAAAAGAAGGGGAATAGAAGAGAAACTATTACGAACTAGGAAGAGGCTCTGGGGCAGGAAGAACAATGGAGATGATAGAGGGGTGAGTGTGGTCAGGTACATTGTGAGCATGTGTAAAGTGTCACAGGAAACCCGCTGTTCTGAAATTAATATACTTTAATGAAAGTGTATTAGGAAGTGACAACGCCGAGAAACGAAGTGTTCTTCATCCCAAGTTCTGTGCTTTCCATTACATGGCAGCCTTTGGGCATGCATTTCCTGCTGTAAAGTAGGGACGTGAACCAAAATGCCCAAACAGCCAAGAGAGTTACACAAAAAGCGAGTGTCTGTGGTGAGCTGCACTACAAACACAGCATGCTTGACAAGTTTATAGGCATCAACTACCCTTATACGCAGTTATAAGAAGCCTAAGGTGATTTACGTGGAAGTTTATACATCGTTTATATGAAAACACTACAGCATTTTGAATAAGGTACTTGGGTACCCAAAAGATTTGCTATCAAGAAGCACCTTGGAACACCCCCGTACAGATTTTGAGGTGCTATGGTAGTTCCTGGCAATTATTGTATACTAATGCTCGCAGGTCAGAGTTTAAGGAGAAGCTAGAAACTTGTATTGTTATGCCAACATTAAATGTTGGAGGCTGGGGAGATGGCCCAGTGGGTAAAGTATGTATCATGTAAGCATGAGGGCCTGAGTTCAGATCCCCAGAACCCGTGTGAATGCTGACACAGTAGCATGAGTCTGTGATCCCAGTGTTCCTATAGCAAGATGAAGATGGAGACAGAATCCCCGAAGCTTGTGGACCAGGTGGCCCAGCTGCTCAGCCGAGAATGACAAAAGACCCTGTTTCAAACAAGGTGTAAGGTAAGGACTGAAACCGAGGTTGTCCTCTGACCTCCACACACATGGAGCCCATATTAGCATACAAGGACACACATGCACGCACGCACACACACACACACACACACACACACACATACACACACACACCCCACTTGCACCACTCACAAAGTTTAAAAGCCAAATGCTTACATATTAATTAGTACATATTAAAGCATTCACAGTGTAAGGGGAAGATGCTGTGCAAAGGCCATCAGTGGACAATCTAATAGTCTAAAAGTGAACAGCCCTTTTCTTTTGCACAAGCTCAAACTATTTTGTCAAGGCTTTCTTCTTCTGTTTCTTCTTCCTCCTTTGTTGTTTTCTTTGAAAAAGGAAAGAACGTTTTCTCCTGGCTCCAGTCAGGGTCTCAAAATATATTACCACAAGGTGGCAGTCAAACTTCTTTTAAAGTCTTACATGGCGCCAATGCCCGCCTCTAATAAACGCAAACTGTGAAGTGCTATCTCTGCCGTAGGCTGTCTCTGGCTGAGATTCTGCGTTGCTTGGTTCGTTCATATTCACCCCCAGTAGCTGTTAAAATAGACAGCAAACAACAAACAGCCTAAAATCCAGCATCAGTTCAATTTTTAATTTTTTAAAAATTTTGAATTTTTAATTTACATTTTATTTTATTTGCTGTAGGCAGAGGTAAAGAGGCCAGAAGAATATTGATTTGAAAACTGTTACGATCTTATAGGCTTACAATTCTGATTCAAATTTTAAATAGAAAATAAATCCCAAATGAAGCATGATATCTAAGACAAGAAATGCCTTCAACAGGTGAAGGGAAACCAGTGACCGCCTGTATGGGTGTAGGGGTCTGAAAGGTGCTCTCCAGCTGAGGTTTTCATCTTTCTTAGGTTCCCAGGGACATACCCTCTGATTCCGTTGGAACGTCCATGCACCTCACTCTTTAAATACATCTATCAGTACATCATGCCTTGTACTGAGCTTCATTTCCTGGTCCTTTCTGCTGTCTGGAAGGTGCTTCATTGGACTGTACCTCAACTACTGGTGTTTTGTTTGTTATGTGTTCAAAATCAACTCTTCAAGTCTCCTCAAATGAAATCTGTGGCTGTCTTCATTTTAGTAACTTACTCTCCCATGATCTTACTAATGCTACCTTAGGCTTTCTTGGCCACTGTTACCATTCTGAACCCCAGGCCCAGAGGCACTCATTTATTCCCCAGGCCACTCTATGAGCTGACATGAGGTACATTCTTTGTTTTCTGATTAAGCTCCTGAAGGGCAGAGAGGCAGACATGGATGAGCCCTTGGCATTGGAGCCAGAGCTCCACTGGGTCTGGGGTCTACTTTTATTTGCCCCGTTGTAAGACATTCCTAGATTCTTATAGTGCACCCATGGCCTTATCAGAGAATTTATAACTTACTACTGTCACAGCTGCTTATTTATACTATGAGAGTTTGAGCTCCTGAGCCTCAGCTCAGTGCTGTCAGCTGTGAGCTTGGATCAGCAGACCTGCTGCTGTCCACATAGTACAGGAGCAGTTGCCCAATGCAATGATGAAAGAAAATGCCATGGAAGCCAAGGCTAAGGGGGAATGCCCTCTGTGCTGCATGAGCTGTGTGATCTGGGGGAAAGATTCGACATCCTTTAGCTTTCATGTCTTCTTCTGCAAAGCATGGAGAGATTACTCTGCTTCCCCCATTAAAGCTGTATAAAGGGTGAATTAAAGTCTGTAAAGTGTTTGATACAAGGTTTGGCACATGGAACCCTGGATATACTGAGAATCATTACAGCAGGTGACTGACATAGATGAATTTTCTTGACTCAACAGTCCTGGCATCCAAATGGATATATCTCATTAATTTCAAGGCAGCTCTTAAACTTTAAAAAAAAAATATGCCTACTTAAATCATTAATATTTTACTCTTATTAATTGTAGAATAAAGAATGTTTAAGAATTAGTGGTGCCTAGCACTGATAAAATAAACCTTGATTTCAATGTAAGTATACACTTTTAATCCTGCTTAGCATTCTCTATTTCTTTTTAAAAATATTTATTCTCTCCCCCTCGCCCCCAAGGATGTGCCGTGGTGTGTAAATCAGAGGACAACTTGTGGGAGTCTGTTCTCTTTTTTCACCCTGTGGGTTCCAGGGATTGAAGTCAGGTTTTCAGGTTTGGCAGCAAGTGCCTTTACCCACTGAGCCATCTCCCCAGCCCCTGGTTAATATTCTTTTTGGGGGGGATTTGTTTATTTTTATTTTATGTGTATGAGTGCCATGCCTACATGTGTTATGCAGTGCCCATGGAGGACAGAAGAGGGCGTTGTATACCCCAGAACTGGAGTTATAGAAGGTTGTTAGTGACCATGTGAGTGCTGGGATTTCAACTTGGGTCTTCTGATAGAACAGTCAATGCTCTTAACTGCTGAGCCATCTCTCCAGCCCCCTGGTTAGTAGTCTTATGAGTAATATAAACACATATTTTGAACACTGGATTTCAATATTATGTGCAATAAAAATAAGCCAGTAAGTGCACCATGAGAAAACAAAAGTAATCTCACTTTGTTTTTTTTTTTTTTTTTTTATTACACGTAACACATAGCTCTGAGTCTATTAATCTCTGCTGAGATGATTCTCACGGTATCCCTGAAAAAGCTTGCTTCTTTTAAAAAGTTTGTAACATATTTAATTAGCATGTGTTCATTGCACATGGTAATTTTGTAATATATTTAATTGGCGTGTGTTCGTTGCACATGGTTCGTTGCACTGGGTTTGATAAGAACATTTTCATACAAATACGCAGTGTTCTTTGAACATATTCTCCTCATAAGCCCATGACCTCTTTTCTCTCCCTCCTCCCTCTGGCTGGTCCTGTTTGTTCCCTTGGATTGTTTCAACTCTGCTTCCATACCATATAGACACACATGATTTTATGTATCTAGGTGACTATATAAACTCTAGGATTTAAAAAAATGACAATGTGATATTTATCTTTCTGAGATTGATTTAATTCTCTTAATATGGTTACTTCCAGTTTTATCCATTTTCCTGAAAACTGCATAACATTAAAAAAAAATGTGTTAATGAGGCCTCTCTCCAACCTGCAGGCTTCTCTCTCCGGGGTAAGTCGATTGGGCCCTCCCCCAGCCTCACCCCCCTCCCCAGACACCTGGGGAACCACCATTGCTTCTTCCTGATCCTTTGTATCCAGAGAGACTCAGTTCTTTCTCAGGTCCCCAGGAGCACTGCTTCTGGGCCTGGCCCGCCCTCACCTCCCTCTGCTTCCCTGGGCCTGCAGGACCCACAGGCCTCTCTCTCCAACCCACAGGCCTCTCTCTCCAAGGTAAGTCGATTGGGCCCTCTGTGCCTTACCTCCCCCAGCCTCACTCACCCTCCCATCTCCTGTTCCGGTCTCTCCTCCTAGCCTGGGTCCTGTCCCATTCCTTGTATTGGCGCCCCAGACACCTGGTGAATCACAACCGCTTCTTCCTGGTCCTGTGCATCCAGAGCAACTCAGTTCCTTCTCGGGTTCCCAGGGGAGCTCTGTGCCTGGCCCTGCCCTCACCTCCCTCTGCCTCCTGGGCAGCCTCTTTCCTGGACGCCGGGGCTGACCTTTCCTCTTCCTGGTCCTTTGCATCCAGACCAACCCAGCTCCTCAGTGCAGTCCCCAGGAACCCTTGGGGCCGCTGAAATAAAATACCGCATACTCTGGTTGGCTAAGACAGGTGCCTCAGAAGTGGAATGAATTTTAGATGGCACTAGTAAATGTAGATTTGTTGCTCATAAAATAAGGAAAAGTGGAAATTTCAGCATGTTTTTTCATTCTGTAAAGTGTAAATTGGAACATTTTAGAAAAGTTGACTTCCATTTGGCAAGTGGAAATTAACTACATTAACATAGGGTGTTTCTGCTTTATATTTCCAAGTGTTTTCAAATGGTTTGAAATCTCTCATCATTTGAGTTTTTAAAATTATTTTATTGAGATATAATTTATTTACCATACCATCTGATTTTTAGTTTTTCAAGTGTTGAACAAACACTCGTTGAATCACTAGATGTGGGTTCAGCATAACAGATACGTAGTAATTTAGACCTCTTTAATGCCTTAAGAATAAGAAGATTTTTAAGAACTCACAGCAAAAGGAACAAAAATTCTCTTAATGTTGTTTCATAATGTCCTAAAGGCCCAACTGGTGTGGCTGAAAGCTACCCTTATGAAAAACCTTGGTATTTGCTTTGTGTGGTGATGTCCCCAAACATCACAATCTGCCTAGGCTGGTTCAGGGCCATGACCTATTAAAGGGTGTGGGCTTTGAGATGAAAATCGCTTTTCCTTTTATGGTCAGTCCTGATTGACCTTTATTTTTTTCCTTTTAGATATGAATTAAGTGAAAAGATGTTATCTGCATGCAACTTACTGAAAAATAACACAAACGATCCCAAAGCTTTGACCAGCAAAGGTGTGGTGAGTCTGAATGATAGCATCCCCAGTCTGTACAGCATACCCAGATGGCACTGTCAAGGTCATGGTAGCCTGCCCCTGAGCTGTTGCATGCATGCATCTCCTGAACCATTTCTGGTATGGATGGCAGAATGAGCATCGAGCCTCCCAGCCCAGGGAGCACACTTGTTCCCTGAGGCCTGGCTTTGGACATCCTGGACCCACCTGGTACTTTTCTTGGGGTGGAGGTATCTGGGAGGCATACTTGCAGGAAGATGCAAGGGCTAATTGCAGGCCATCTTCTTTCTACATACTGTGCTTCTGTCCACAGAACCTTCTGATCTGAGCAGCATCCCAGACCTTTTTTAAGCCAGAGTAGTTTTTCAGAAGAAGCCTATCTAGACTGAGGTCAGCATTCCTTTCAGTTATGAAAGTACATATTAGGTTCTGATGTTGAATGCAGGCGGCCATTATTTTTAAACAGAAAAATAACTGCTCTGTCATTTCATAGTGAGAGATTCACAGTGAGTGCTCCCTGGGCAGATTGTATAGAGGGCACTTGCCTTTGTGACCATGAATAGCAGGGCATAAGATACGGGTATTTCCGTGGCTCTGGTCAATCTGGTGTGTCTCCAAATGTGTCGTACACTGAGATTTGATGTGCAGCTGCTAAACCTGACCTCTGACTGGCAGCTCCATCTTCAGGGCATTGTGAAAATGTGACTTCTTGCATTAATTTTATAATAGCATGTATCTGAATTTTTGCATGTCAGCAGATTTACTCCTTTTCATGTTAAATCATTTAAGTCAGCAGCTGGTGCACTCACAAGACTCTCAAGATTATGGAGCTATGAAAACAAAATGAGACCTAAAGAATTATCTAATCTTAGAAAAGCAGGTTTCCACACGTGTGACAAATACAATTGGAATGCTGTGGGTCTGGCACACTCTTAAAATTTGGTGGTGGCTGTCAGCAGGCCTGGACAGAAGTACAGAAGTGCATGTGTCCATGAGACCACACTAGTCAAATCCAGCCCCAGGATCTGAGGCCCTAAAAATGTGTCTCTAAGGAGCTGGCAAGATGGTTCAATGGGTAAATGTGCTTGCCACCAAGTTGACAAACTAAGTTTGATTCCTAGGACACACATGGTGGAAGGAGAGAATCAACTTCCATAAGTTGTCCTCCTACCTGCACACATGCATGTGGTATGTGCACACACATACATATGTACACAAATGTGAAAAAAATACACTTTAAAAAAGTATCTCTCTTGGGCTGGAGAGATGGCTCAGCAGTTAAGAATATTGGTTGTTCTTGCAGAAGACCCGGGTTCAAATCCCAGCACCTACATGGTAGCTAACAACTGTCTGTAACTCCATTTCCAGGGGATCCCAGAGCCTCTTCTGTCCTCCGCAGGCATTGCATGACACAGGTGCACTTACCTACATGCAGACAATACATGCATACACATAAAATTTAAAAAATAATAAATAAAATTTTTTTTTAAAAGAAAAGTATCTCTAGAGCAACAGCTACCAGATCACACTAGTGCTGGAACCAGATTAACCAATTTTGCTTGTTTGACTTTTTAATACAGAGTCTCACACTGTAGCTCAGGCTGATCTAGAACTCACTATGTAGCCCAGGTCAGTCTCGAACTCCCAACAGTCCTCTTGCCTCAGCTTCCCAGGTACTGGGATTACAGTCATGAGCCACCACTCCCAGCTTAGACCACCCTGATCATGAGTATAAGACCTTGTTTTGTTTATTTCAGTAAGTCATACTACCTTATTATACAGCATGTGTTTTAACTTAGTGTCTTCTCAACTTTGTTTGTGTAGAACCTAAATGGGTCTTGACATTTAGATAGTGTGAAAAGGGAACATGACGTTGATGTTTACAGAAAGGAATATCAATAAAACTCCTGAAGAGGCGGCATACCACTGCAGGTCCATATTTATCAGTACGAACTGGTCATACCTTGGTCACAGATAGTAAAACCATAAAATGTCACTGTAATGTCGCTGTATCCCACTATCTTTAACCTGATTTAAAACTGTGCTTTAGGACCCCAGATTTTATAGCCATCATAGTTTTTTTTCTTTTACCATTCCCCAAATATTAGGTTATAGGACCTTATGAAGAACTGAACATTCTATGTCCCCCAAGTGGTCAGACACTCTGACTCATACCTTTTCTTCTTGGATGAATTTTCATCCATTGCAAAAAGTATTTAAAGTGTTGTCCTGTGAAAGTAGAGGACATGTACGTGGTGGCCACAAGGCCAAAATCGTATCAGCACCAGCCATTCAGCAGTAACAGAGTTAGGACAGTCAGAGGACATCATTTCCCTTCTTTCTTTATGATGACTCCAAGCCTGGGTGTGTAGAAGACAGAGAAGAAAGGGAGGAAAACTTAGATTCACTGCTTCCTGGCTAGGACCCTTTTTGAGTGACAAAAATGTTATTGAATGGGCTAAAACTGAGCAGGCAGTTACAGGAAGCTGAAGAGAGAGATGCTCTAGAACCCCCATCCCACCTTTTCAGTAAAAAGAAGACCTCATGGGTGTAGTGCCAACCATCATTCTCTGATATATTTTTTAACTTTTAAGGACTAAATGGAGCAATGGCTGGAGAGATGTTCAGCAGTTAAGAGCACTGGCTGCTCTTGCAGAGGATCCAGGTTTGGTTCTCAGCACCCACATGGCAGCTAACAACTGTTCATAACTCCAGTTCCAGTTCAGTGCCCTCTTCTGACCTCCTTGAGCATTGCATGACATAGGTGCACTTATGTACATGTAGGCAATATACTCATACATATAAAATTAAAATAAATAAAATTGGAAAAAAGAATAAACAATGTAAATGTGAATGATAACCTCATAAAAACAAGGCACATGGGGGACTGGTGAGATGACTCAGCAGTTAAGAGCAGTGGCTGCTCTTGCACAGGACCCAGGGTCTGTTCCTAGCACCCACACAGTGGCTCACAACCATCTAACTCTCTAGTTCCAGGGGAGGAACTCTTTTGACCTCTGAGGGCATTGGATGCATGTGGTACACTTTTATACATGCAGGTAAAACACTCATACACGTAAAATATAAGTAAATAAATCTTTTTAAAAAGGCACATGAGAAAGGCATGCATTAGCCCTCTCCATCTCCAGCACTGGCTATACCTAATCTACAGTGAACTTCATTTCAACTTGATCTTTCATGAAACAAGGTCCAGTGTAAGGAAGTCAGAGAGGAACCATTCATTAAGAGGCAGATGATCCCAATGAGAAATGAAATTTGTTCCAGACTTCTTTTTGTTTTCTCTCTGTGGCTAAATGTTTACGTTGGGAATTGGAGTCAGAATCATCTGGCTGCACACTGTGGTCTCCCGGCCTAGTTGAGCTAGTCTGGACTGGAAAGAAGCAGATAACTGAGGGTGGGCAAATTTCTTCCTGATATCCATGAAGAGCATTTTCAAGGCCAGCCTAATTCCGTAATATGAAGAGCTCAAAAGTTTTGTCATATATAAGTGTTTTATCCTCACTATAGACAATGTAAAAAAGAGGGTATTATTTTCTTTTCAGATATGGGACCTAAGATGTGGAATAAGTAAGGTCCCCAGGGTCATTAGTCCATAAGAAGTAGAATCCAGATATGGACTTTGAGCATCTGGTTCTAAACCCACTTTTCTCACACACGGTTATGTGACCTCAGAATCAGATGTATACTGTGTGGTTTAAAACTAGAAAGAAGTTCCAGTTTGTTGTTCGAAGATGTTCTTGGGGCTCTTGGCTTCGCTGACTTTTGAGAGCAGATGTTAAGTATACACACGGTGATTATGAAAGGCATGTTACTTGGGCTTTCCACTGAGGCTCAGAGAGGCCTGTAAGTAGAACTAATGGCAGCTTGGTGTTTTGGCAGAGGTTCTGTTTGAACACCCTCCAGCACGAGTGGTTCCATGTGTCCATTCAGAAGTCAGCTGTGCCAGCCATGGTGGGTGACTACATCACTGCCTTTGAGGCAGTCTCCCCAGATGAGCTCTGCTACATCATCAACATGGCTGACGGCACTGGCAACACTGCCCTCCACTACAGCGTGTCGCACTCCAACTTCGAGATTGTCAAGTTGCTTTGGGATACAGGTGTGGAGATGGGCCCACCTTTCCCCTAGCAACACTCAGGTTTTAACTTGTCTTGATGAAGCCAGTTGATCCATGACTGAGTTCTCTGGCCATCTTAAAGCTCCTTCATTGCTCTTCCACATGACATTGGCAAGAATATTGTTCTTGAGTCATACATACATGAGAGGCTTGAAGTTAACCAAGCCTGGGTGATACAGAATCCAGATCTATTTTGAAGGGACGTTTTCAAGATATTCTTTCTGCAGATCAGCTGCCTCCAAGTGAGGTGTACCCCTGCTAATAAACATGGCTCCCGCTTCCTCCTCACTGAATCATGCAGGTTTGGCTGGTTTCCTCTCAGGAGGCAGAATGCTGCCCATAGGCCCAGAGCCACAGTTTTTGTGTGTGTGACCACTCCATGTGTCCTTGCACACTAAATACTATTCAGTGACCCTGCAGAAGTGATTGGTTACTCAGGATAGGGACTGAGCAAAACCACAGTAGAATCTCTGCTCTTGCCAAAGTACACTATTATTGAAGAATCACATGAATCAAAGGAAGTTACCTCTGAACTGTATTAGTGAAAATAATGGAGACTTGCCATCCCAAAATACAGCCATGGGTCACATCATACAGGAAGTGAGAGCACTGTACAGAAGGGGCTCTTTGTGAAATAGTGGGCTTTCATCTTGGAGTTTTAATGGAGCCACCTGTACATATATTCATCCCCAAAGTACTTTACTCATTGGGAACAGTATTGATATGTAACTAATATAGAATTTACAGTAGCTCGGTCTACTGAGGATACAATGTTAACACCTGATATGAAACTGTCCAGTTCCTTCACTGTTTCTTGATCCAATGGCATGATATTCATGACTGCATCTTGGGCATATTGGGTTAATGTAGAGAAAAAAATCCAAGCACATATACCATTTTTTTCCTTTTATCAGTTTACTTATTCCCTTTTCTTTCCTTTCTTGGGGTGGAGAGGGTAGTACTGGAGTTAGAACTTGGGGCCTTTGCTTGCTAGGCAAGTGCTCTTTCACTGACATACCTCCTAGGACTGCTTGCTCTGTATTTTAGTGCCCATGTTAGGGAATAACTGTTTCCAACTGACAGTAAGGAATTATAGGCCTCCTTCCCTTTAAATTTTCCAGACTACAAACAGCTTGGGATAATGTCAGCCCAAGTGATTGTTAGATAGAGAAGTAGATAGTATCCAGGGAAACTGAAAACAAGATTTCAGGATTACTCTTGAAATGAATGATTTTTTTTATACCCTCAGAAAGCCAGAGTAGGTATCCTGGCAAATTAAATTTATTCCATTGTTGAATGGTTTTAGTTAATCATTTTATGTATTTAGCTTTTATTGCTTACCATTATGGGTGAATTTTTGGCTCCATAAAATGTGACTCTAATGCTTCAGCATCAAGGACTGAAGAGGTCAGAGTTTGAGGATCTCCCTCACTATATGCACCCACTTCTTTACCACACAGTCTATACTTTTTACACATAAGTGCTTTTGTACATACTGTTATGTGATTGCTTGAGATCCTGAGCATAGTTTTCTTCTTGTCCTATCTTAATTTGATATATGCTCAGTATAAAAGCTGTTTTCCAGGGCTGGAGAGATGGCTCAATGCTGTTCTTGTACAGGACCCGGGTTCCATTCCCAGCACTCACATGGCAGCTAACAACTGTCCATAACTCCAGTTCCAGGAGACCCAATACCCTCTATGACCTCCACGAACATTGCGCGGCATGGGTACACGTACACACATGCAGCCAGTACATTCACATTCATATACACAAAATAAAAATAATAAAATATTTAAAAGATGCTTTCTAATACTCTCCACTGTCATCTCATTAAAGCTCTAGAAAACTTCCTAAGAATTACAGAATAGAAGTGAGTCAGCCCCTGGAGTCTGGTGGCCCTGGGCATTTTCTTAGAGGACTTATATAGCCTTATTATTGATCTTACACCACAAGCCCTAGAGTTAGAAGCCATGTGATTGAATTTTTGCTTTTAGGGACCACACAAGTTTGAGCAGTAGTAAATTCAGGGCAGCAGAACTCAAGAGGGCTAGGTCAGGACCACATTCAATATTCCATGCTCAGCCTTGGCAAACACTCCTTTTATTTGTAATTCTCCAGTCATTTGTTCTAGAACAGTGAGTTCCTGAACATCTATACTTCTAGAGCCCTTGTCAGAGCAAGCACACTTAGAACCACCCCATGTACCTCCAAGCTGTTGCAGCTCAACCACCAGTTTCAGGCAGGACACACAGTCTGTAGCTTTCTGTCATTTCTGTTGCTGCCAGCCCTCTGAGCAAGGAGGGGAAACATTTAACGTGAAAACATCTCTCTCATTTCTTTCCAAGTCTCTCTCAGTCCCGGCGTGCTTACTGATTTGCAGGGCTCTTGCAAACACCATACCTCCAGCAAATGCTTGCTGCTGCTGGATGGCTCTCCCTAAAGAGATTACTTTCTTGTAGATGTGTGTAATGTCGACCACCAGAACAAGGCAGGGTACATGCCTATCATGCTGGCGGCGCTTGCAGCAGTGGAGGCAGAGAAAGACATGCAGGTTGTGGAAGAACTCTTCAGCTGTGGAAATGTGAATGCCAAAGCCAGTCAGGTCAGTGGCTTGCTTCCTGAGCTTGCCATATCTGCTCTGGCCAGTAGCTGCAGACAAACCTTCTTTGAGCAGGCTGATGGAGCAGCACTGTCAGCCAACTCACCAGTGACACGTGTGCTCAGTCCCATAAGGGAACCTCACCCTACTTCACCTTGCCTGGCTCTCTGTAGGAAATTTGCAAGAAAACTGCAAACCTGCCTGTTTATATGAGGCCTTCCCTATATGGGATCCCCATGTGGGAACCCCATCATACACTCATTGCCTGCTGACTCACAATCACCTTGCTGTCCTGGTTCATGATAGACACAGAGTTCCAAGCCTACGTTTGTTCAGAGCTTGACCTTAAACCTCTTCAGAACTTTCTAGTCCCTTGCTACACTGAGACATCCTCAAAACTAAAACCTGATTCCTTTCTGTGTGATCTTCCTTACCTCACGGCTCCCGGTGCCTCCATGCTTCCCCCATCCCCTACTGCTCAGGCTATACTGAAGCCAACCATCTTTTTCCATAGGCAGGACAGACAGCCCTCATGAACGAATAGACATGGTGAAGGGCCTGCTGGCCTGTGGGGCTGAGGTCAACATCCAGGACAACAAGGATTCCACTGCCCTGATGTGTGCTAGCGAGCACGGGCACATGGAGATTGTCAAGTTGTTGCTGGCCCAGCCGGGCTGCAAGGGCCACCTAGAAGACAACGTGAGCGGGTGTGGGCCCTCTCCTTCTTGCTTCTTCTGGACTAGTGTTGGTGCCCAGGCCTCCTTTGACATAAATTCTAGATCCTGCCTGGGCCCAGGGCAAAGCACCAGAGGCTTTCACTGTGTGGAAGGGCAACTGCTTCCCTCCTCAGGCGTACACAATATTCCCTTCCCTTCCCCCAGGGAGTGAGAGTTTCCAAGTTACTCTTCCTCCAGACCAGTATCTGTTCCATGCGTTTGGGGTTTTGCTTGGTTTTCTCTCTTGCCGAAAACATGTAGCTTAGTAATTGGCATCCATGGAGCTACAGGGACCTCCAGAAATCCTGGCTGGTCAGCTGATTACCTGCGTATCCATATTCAAGTAGGAGAGCACTCACCAGACCTCCAGAAGGAAAGCAACTCCCAAGATTCTTAGCGTGGGAGGGAAGAACACTTAGACCACATGGGAATCATTTCCTATTGCATGTGACCAAAGGAGAGTCCTTATTTCAAGACTAGGAAAGAAATAAGCTGTACTGTTCTTTGCCTTGGTGTTCCTTCTTATCTGTCTCGGGCCCTGCAATTTATTCAAAATTGAACAATTAGCTAAAAGTATCTCTTTCCCATAAGCAGTGTTTCCCTGTTATTTCCGTAAGATTCATGCATGCAAGCTGCCAGCATGGCGCACTTGTACATGGATGTAAACTACAGGTAGAGGTGCTGTGGGCTCTGGGATCACAGTGTCCTTGCCCTGAGGTGCTCACCATGTTGCTCACCTGTCATTTGTGATTATATGAAGATGGGAAGCTAGAGTTTCTACCCCTCCTTTTCTTGCTGCCCCTTTTGGTCGGCAGAACAGTTGGATAGGAGTTCTTGGACAGCCTCCACTTTTGAGGATCCTGGTGTACAGACCTCTGTGCCATCTCTGATAGGCAAAGCCCAAGCAAGTGGAGCAGGGATCCTTGGTCCTTTTGCTTGGTCTCCTTTGGACAGAGGCTGTCTTTGTTCATCTCCACATCCTCAGGCCCTACCACTTAAGACCCAGAAATGTTTCCTGAAGGACTGAACAGATGGCTAGATTTAGGGGAACGTTACCAGTTTTGTTACCTTCTGGCTGTCTTGAGATGTGAGAGCCTCAGCCAGGCTTGTTCTTGCCATGTCATTTTCAGGATGGCAGCACCGCACTCTCCATAGCCCTGGAAGCAGGACACAAGGACATCGCCGTTCTTCTGTATGCTCACGTCAACTTCGCAAAAGCCCAGTCTCCGGTTAGTGTTGGGCATTTGGTGTTTGCAAACAGGGTAAAATCCACCGGGCTGGCAGGGCCCCCTCCTTGGGGAATTTGACAGGCCACATGGGTTTTATGTTGATTTTGAGAATGAAGGTTTTAGTCTAGAACTTAAGATGTCATCATTTCCACCTCATGCTGAGGCCCAAGCAAAATTAGATCCTGTTTATCCTTGGGAGGCAGAGGCTGTCATAAGGAACTTTTCATTCCGTGTATAATGATCCACACAGTGCAGGCTGAGCTCATGGCTACATGTCACTGTGCTCCTGACACTGTTCTTAAAACTGGCCATGGGCAGCTTGTGGTCCCGGAGTTCACTCAGAGTGGGAGACTGAATTGCTAGGACAGCTGGAGAAGTCCTGCTAAGTGCAGCTGACCTTGGAGCCAGGCCTGCCGTGGGTAGACATCTGCCCCTTCTTCTTGGCCAGAGTGCTCCTGGCTCTGACACATAGGTGGTTGTTAGCTGCGATGAACCAGGAGACGCATCTGCCTGAGGTTACTTATTAACCTCTACTTCCCCCCCTTTCCTGGTCTCTAGGGTACTCCAAGACTTGGAAGAAAGACATCTCCTGGTCCCACCCACCGAGGTTCCTTTGACTGATTATGTACAAACAGCTCTCCACCTATGTGCCACCATGAAGCTGCTAATTGTTCTTGTTGGGGTGACAGATACTGAATGTTTATGGACGGTGCCTGAGCTGCAGCACACAAAAGTGGAAAGGCACAGGCTGAACACTGATGCTTTTGCAAGGAATGTAGCACAGTTGGGAAATGGCTAAGCTGCACACAGGCCTCGCTCTCACATTCTGCTCTCTGTAGGGCTTGAATCTGGCTCTGTGGCTGCTTAATCAGCTTTTATAAACAGTATAAGAACTTCTCCTATAGCACAAACAAGTGTCAGGTTCGCCTTGGCATAGTAGTTTTGAGTTTTTCCACAAATATTTATGCTTACTAAATGTTGGACCTATTGAGAAGCCCTTCTAGTATTCCATTCCAGGATGATTTTGTTAATTTCTCTCTTTTTTTTTTCTTTTGGTCTTTTTTTGAAACAGGGTCTCCCTGTAACCCCCAGGTGCTGGCCTGGAACTCACTATGAAGACCAGGCTGGAACTCACAGAGATCCACCTGTCTCTGCCTCCCAAGTGCTGGGATTAAAGGCATGTGCCGCCATGCCTAGCCTTTGTCTTTCTTTTAAAATAAGAAGCTTGAGCTGACTTTGATCATCAGCAGTTTGGGCCCCAGGCTGATAGTCTTGGTTTTAAAACAATAGAAGATAGAACACTTAAACCTTATAAACTTACAAAAAGAAATGTTTTCAGTTGGTTTATCTAGGAGGATTATTATATAGCTTTTTATATAAAAGAATTCTATATGAAATTGATACAGTATTTTCAACTTTTATATCCCATAGTAAAGTCATGAAGAACTACGTGTAACATTACCGTATTTTTAACAATTGCACAACCCTGTCTGTATCTAATGATAAAGGTTGAATTATGTTAGAAGCGTGGGCTCTGTATTTGCCTGTAGAACTACCAAGTGTAGTTCCCTGTGTACTTATGGATTCCTTTATATCATGTCACATTTGCTTTGGTCCTGTAAATGTATTTAAATGTTTGAAGTGCCTTAGACTCTTGCCCTATTTTCAAAATAAAATTTCATTAAGCTCTTTCCCTTTGTCCCTTCTTCATCACTGACAGCTGTCTGCCTGGCTCCGACGACGTACAGCAGTGGTCACAAACACTGATGGATGGATTGGGCAGGGAGAAGAAATGTGCTGTCTGCTGGTCTCAGGCTCCCAAGAGGGCAGGTCTGACTCTGTGACACAGGTTCCACATCCCTGGGCTGCATGTCACAAAGCTGAAAGTTAAGACCTTATACATACTGCTATCAGCCAGCTAACCTCCAGGGAGCTCCTGAGTTAATTCTCCTCAGATGCGTGAGTGCTAGTTCTGAACTGATGTGGGGCACAACTACTGGTGACTGCCCATTTTTTTTTTTAGAGAAGATGCTAGGAGACCCGGACTCCTAGGCTGTTCATTCCATCCCAGGACAAATCTGCAGAAATGGGTACAATCAATTAAGTTAAAGCATAAGAGCAAGGAATTTGTGAAGGGAAGTGGCTCTGGGGTTTGTCTGCCCTTTAATAGCACAAAATGCCTTTTGAGCAAAGAGCTGTTTCTCAGCTGTTTGTGGTCCTTGATATTTTCTTCATTCTTTTTGAGAAAGAAAAGGCATTGATATTGTAAATGCGGGGCTGGTCCTTAGCCAGAAACAATTTCATTCTACATTCTGCATTAGGAAATTACCAATCACAGGCCTTATATTTCCCTTTTCTCTGCCCCCAAGACCCTTTAGTCAGCGTATCATTTTCTGATTGGTCCGCGCCATGCAGTCTGTCAGCAGTCACTGGGCTCACAAGCAGGGTACAGAGGCATGGGCTCCTTTTGCTGGGCTATTTGTGGACCAAGTGGTGAAGTGAGTTTTCGCTGAATCCCGGGGCTCTGAGTCGGCGCCATCTTTGGAGGCATCCTGCTACACATGTTTACTCTGTTCTTATTCAGCATGACTGTTATTTAGAAGCCAGTTGATTATAAAAATACAACTAAAGTGCATTTTGTTGAAGATTGTTACCACAAAAGGATGTGGCTGAACCCTCGGCTGCAGCACTGCAGACTTTTTAGGCCCCCGCTCCCTCTCACTGGAGTCACTAGTGGTGTGTTTGGGGCTGAGTTTGAAAGATAAAGTCAGCTGATACCCTGAGATACCCACCCTGGATTTGATGAGAATGCTGCAGAGAAACTGGACGGCCAAGTGCAGCTTTTAACGGTGCCACACTGGTACAGAATATTCGAAGTAGAGGACATTTGGGGAGTAATTCACATTTTAGAAAACCAGCTGCCTGTGCCTCTCCATTAAGTTCATGGGAAGTCAGTCCCTCATTTTCAGACCACAGAACCTGTTTAAGAGGTACTCCCCATCCAATGTTTAAGCTACAAAAAGCTTGCGCATTTCCTCTCCATGCTCTATCCCAAAAGGAACCAGTTTACCTGGCCCTTGAGCCAGCTTCAGAAGGGTAAGGCAGGGCAGCTAAAGGGAAGAGGAAATACGTGACGTGGATGGGCAGGAGGAGCTGCTTGGCTGTCATCCATTCAGTGTGGCTCAATGCCACAGAAGACTTGAGTGCCTGCTGGGAGGGCCACTTACATCTCATGTGTCAAGAAGCAAACACATCTGCTCTGTTAGGAAATAGTGGGTGTTTGTAAATAAACAGATAATAAAGACAATATCCACTAAGTTGAGTCCCCAAGAACTGGGAGAACTCACCCACCCACCCCCAATCCTGCCTAAAGTAACACTTTCCAGAAAAGCCTGTCACTGACAGAACACCCAATAAGACCAGTTTCTGTGCTTGGGCTTGTAACATCATCTGCAGGACTGAGAAGTTCAGTGCCTGGCTGGTGAATACTAATTAAATGAATAACGGAAAAAAAATAAATAAAAGGGCGTCAAAAGTCAGGAGAGAGTTAGCCATTGGGGAGGAGATGCCTGGGAAGGGGCAGGACTGGGAGGGAGCTGATAGGTGCCACTGGGTGGCACTGGGTGATGGTCACCTCCCACCTGTGTGGCAGCTGCAGTATTTTACTGGCTTTGTCACTGCCTCATACTGTACTCACAACGTATGGCTATTAATGGCAAAATCTCCTTTAGTTAATAAAAGGAAAAAGTTTGATCAAAGATCTGAGGATGGGTTGGGGGGTTAGAGCTGAAGGTCAGTAGGTACAGAGAGGTAGTGGGTGATATGAACCTGAAGTTCTTGGCCCCCTCATTCTGTAATGTTAGTTCACCACTTTGCTCACCAGGGGTGCCCTGGATTGCTCACAACCTCAGATCCAGTCAGCAGAGCTGTTCTCGGATACTCCAGTGCTTTTATAAACAGAGCAGAATAGGATGTACCTCCCGTTGGATTCTGAAGTTAAACATAGTCCCGTGATGTATCAATGCCACATCAGTGGAAGGGATGTGTCAACTCCAGATGGAAGCTTTAAAAGCCCTTGTTGGGGCTGGAGAGATGGCTCAGCAGTTAAGAGCACTGGCTGTTCTTGCAGAAGACCTGGGTTCAGTTTCCAGCACCCACATGATGTCTAATAATGCTCTGTAACTCCGGTTCTAGAGAATCTGATGTCCTCTTCTGACCACCGTGGGCATTACATGACACAATGTACTCATACACCTATATTAAAAATTATAAAAATTTTAAAGCCATTGTAAAGGCATGGAGTGTTCTATATCCTGTGGCCTGGCATGGGGTGTACCATATCCTGAGCCCTGGTGTGGTGATCATGAATGCATGTGCCAAATTGGATGTCCCATTAACATCAACCTTGAGTGACTGTGGGGAGTGGAAACTGTGTTATGGGTATGTCATGTTAAGTCAGGGAGGTTTGAGAGGGTTTTTTAACTATAGCATGACTGAAGTTTTCCTGATTAATCTAGAAGTTGGTTTCTAGAAGTGAACTGCTGTTGAAACCAAATCACTTAGTTGATGTAGACAATGAAACTATCACTGGGGACTCCCTAATAGACAGAAAACACCAGAAAATTTGAATGACTGTTTTCTTAATCCCAGAATGACACACACCAGTAACCATCCTAGTTACAAAGAGGAATCACCTACTATGTACAATGGATGCCTCAGGCTACTGAAGACAAAGCTTCTTGTTGAAAGAAAAGCCATTTTCTGTGTACGCTGGGGACAGATTGTATCTTTGAATCTTGCTGCTCCAGTGTGCACAGACTACCTGGAGGGCTTGTGAACCAACCCCAGAAATTCCAGTTTAGAATGTCTAGGAAATGCCCAGAAATGAGTATTTCTGGCACATTCCCAGATTCTTGCTACTGGTTTAGAGGCCGCTGGGGAAGTACTGCTCTAGGGTAAGTACTAAGCAGCATTATAAGTAGACCTTCCCTTACATCAGGGTCTGTCTGAGCATACTCCAGGGGTCTGACAACTCCTAGGAGTCTGAGAGGACTCCTGGAGGGGGTGTGTATCTGTGTTTAGCATCTCTGTTGGGTTCTCTTGCATATTTCAGAAACTAAACTAATATAGGTAGAGTGTCCCCTGTGGAATTTTTGTTCCCCAGTTTAAAAACAGTATTGCAAAGATGTCTTTGCCTAATGACAAGTGTTTTCTTTTTACCACTTGGACAATATATTCTGTGTTTATAAATCCTGTATTCATTCAGAACTGGGTTTTAGAATTTGCTCAGAGCTCGTGACTTGAATCATTGCAGTCTTATAAGGAAAAAAAAAGACCCACACATTTACTTAGAAAGACCCCTCCTTGATGCTCATTTCAGAGTCTGTGGGCGCTCATTCTCTGGTGAATGCTCCTTCAGAGCCCAGTCAGTCTTCCCTGAAGCCCCAGCAAGGGAGACTCAGCGAACCGCACAGCTGTCCTCTCAACAGATGCCACTGGGCAGAAGCACACAATGGTCCTTATGGAGCCAGGATAGGGACCACTAGATGTGCATGCCAGCAGCTGAGGCAGACACATCTATGAGGAAAAGACATTGGGCTCTCATGACCAGAAGCAAACTCATGATATTCCCTAGTCTAAAAGCAGGACATGTCACAACTCTAGAGTCAGAGATGAGGTGAGATGAGAAAAACAAAAGAAATCATTGTTTCGTAGGGACACTGGAGCCAACTTGTTTACATCCTCCCCATCCATAAATTAATCTCTGACATAGGATGCTTCTAGGAAGTATAGTTGTTGAGACTGATTGATGGATGGCCTTGATTACCAAAAGAATATTAATGACGTATGCATCATTCAAT